ATTTGTTTTTTTTTTTAGTTTTTGGCATTTTTCTCCGTCGTCACTGGACCAATTTTCAAAAACTACAAAATCCAAAATCTGAGCACCAACTTCCAAGTTATAGACGGGCCAAGGACTCGCGGAAATACCGACACACAGAGAGACAGATAGGCAGACCGACGGAAATGTGATATCATTTTTCGGGATGTACATATCATATGACATCCAAAAAACATAATATCTCATTTTAGAAATTTTACAGCATTACAAGGCTTTTGCATATTGGAAGGGTCTATCCATTCCAGGCCTACAAGAACTAAGTGATAGTTTACTTTCGAGCCATTTAAAATGGTCACTACCGAGAAACAGCACGTTTTAGGTGACCTTCTCTTGTCCTGACATAGCTCTAATATGAAGGTCGTTTATTTTATTTTCCCTTTTTCCTGAATCCAGACTTCTGCAGCAGCTTGTTCTTAATGTGTAGAAAAAAGGGGAGAGGCCACCCGTTACCTATTTTCATCCTTTCGCTCACAGCACGGATCTCGGACGAAAGGTCACGCTTATACGTACAGGGTGGCCCATTGAAAACTAATATTACTGCTTTCGTCAGTCCAACCACAGCGCAGTTCTGTGCTTGCTGGCAATCATCAACACGGTCTAAGTAGGTCTACGAACAGAAGCACATCAAAATAACATCTATAAGAGGTATGAAGTCGATAGAAATGTACTCTAAAGATAAAGAATTCTCTCTTCTTGCATTATTTAAATTTTTGTCAGAAATAAGTTTGAGAACCAAATTTGTGTGACGGATTGAGTTCAATGTATGCGAAAGAGAAGTGTGTAGAGACACATATGTTAGAAATAGATAGAAGCCAAAGAGTTAAGATGCCTGATGGAAATACGCATTAGCTTATTCTCTACGCCCAAATTTTTTAAATTGAGAGTCGTGTCGAATCTGTTTAGGATCCATCCTTTGTCGGTCCTAGCAGCGCTTCATTTAAGATAGAAATCAAAGGTCAGGATCGCCACAAATTCTGCAACATTGCATTGGTTCGTGTGGCAACACCGCATCTCGTACATTCCAAGGCAAGCTTTTCACCTATATGATCATAGATCAGCGATTTTGGTCAGCACCCATCTAGCGCCTTTTGGGGCGTATCGCTGCTTCAAAATTGTTTTCACCTGCGTACATGCAAGCAGTAATAATTTTTATTGGTATTTGTTAGATTTTCCGACCGTTTGCTGTCGCAAAATGTAACAATAACTCAGGATGTGTTGATTTCTTTTACATCAAAGATTATTCTAAAATAAATTAAAACACTAAGTCGCATCAAAATTGAAATAAATAATTCATCAAAATGAAAACAGAAGATTACATTAAATATTCGAACAAACCTCCTTCTTAGGTTAGTATTGTAGAAACCTGTGCAAACATTTTCTGGTCTAATATTGGCTACGCGGCAGATTGCACGACCTTCTGGGTCACCGTTGCTAGGCAATGAGGTGAAGTCCTTCGCTCTTCAGCCGGATTGTATCTCTTTATAACATGTGTTATCGCGCTTCTCTCTCGTACACATCGAAATCAAGCCCTCAGACAAATTTGGTTTTCCCTGATTTAAAACAGGCCAGATAAAACTTGAGCATTGAAACGTTACGACAAAACTTAAAGGGCCATGGTTTCGGTCGCACTGATTTAAATTATAGATCCTACTCTATTAGGTACTAATAACTGCTGCGTTGCAAGGTTCACTATTTTTTCAGGGATTGTTACACTTTTTTTAATTCAAATACAATGACTTTTAATTGGCGTATATCAGCTATCTTAGCTCACTTATGAAGATATGGAAATATTTTCAAATGTTTGGAAACGGTTCAACATTTCCAGAAGTACTGGTTCGAAATCCAGCGGAGGCAGTGATCGTTTCGAGCCAGAAAGTAGTACCCGCGTTGTTACCAGATCTACTATTTTTCAGAAACAATTCTACTCTATTGTCTAAATTCGACTGCGGTAGTATTTTTTACTACTGGATATGAACATTCTACATTCCCCAATACCATTTCCGAAAACAGAACTCCGTCTAGTCTACTTATAAAGATATGGCAACATAATGCAGAGTCCGTAAGTTTGTGGAATATATTGTAGATAACTATATCATTATCTACGAAAGTTTGAAGAAAAGGACATCTAGGCATCAGTTATTAAAAATCGGATTAACAAAATTTCTATAAGCTCCTCATAGCGCCGTCATGCCCTGGCATTTGGGCTTCTGCCTGCGTGGCTGCTTCAATGTAAACAAAACTTATTGGATGGTTTCAATTGGAATGTTGCCAGATTTTCCATTTATCGAGAAACAGCCCTACTTTTCCTTATGTTGTTATATCTTCATAAGCATATTAAATGAAGTCCCGATGCTTAAGGAATACACAGAATTAATATATGCTAATAAAAAAGATACAATGGCACGTGAATTTAAAAAGTTTAGTCATTTTCGAAAATGGCAAATCTGGCAACAACTGGGTTATTACCACCTAATCAGTAATGATCGGTTGAAATGTGATGGATGTGAATTCAGTACTTTCCAAGATATTCGACCATAAGTAGTTTGGATGAGAACTAGTTATTTGAAGGTCATGTTAACGGGTACTAGAGCGCTAGTAAAGACAATAAAATATACAATACTTATATTATAAAAGGTATAGTTGTTTTCGAAAAATATGATGTATCTGGCAACATCGCCGCTAGTGCCATCTGCTCGAGAATGATCGATTATTTCCTTGTTCAAAACTTTGTCAATTTCGGCCCACTACTCCCCAAAACATCTGACCATTGCCAAGCTTTCGATTAACCCTATATTTGAGAAAATAGGATGAATGGAACCTGAACAGCAATAAAACGTTACTGAAATATCTAGCAAGTTTTAAGGGCTAAGGTAGGGAGAAATACATGATGTGTGCAATATATCTAATAGGTGCATAGAATTTCCAAGATTGGTAGCATACAAATGTACTAGCATCAAAAAATTGAGACTTCCCACCATCCTCTCCTTTTTTTACCTCTAAAAGCCTTTCCAAAAATGATCAGGGTCATCTGAAACGTCAAAAAACGGAGGTTGAGCGATTTTTATTCTTTTTCGTTTTCGACCGTTTTCTCTGCCGCCATTAGATCGATTTCCAAAACCTTTCCTGCGTCCTTGGTATAGTAATAACATTGTAGAAATTTCATCGAAATCCGAGCGGTACTTCCCAAGTTATAAGCGGTTATAACATTAGCGGACAAATTGATAGAGGTACAGATGGAAATGAGTAACATAATTTTTCGTGATGTACATGTCATAAAGTACCCAAAAAACTCAGTTTTGAAATTTTTCGAGTGAAAAGTAACACTTAGTTGTAGTATCAAAGAAATTGTTTTATAGCACAAATCAGGTGAGCTTGATGGCATATCTATATCACTGTTAAAAGCTAGAGCCGTCTAACACTACCACAGACACTTTGCCGCTTCCGCGCAAACAGCTTTTTCTGGGATAGAGGCAAACATTGCGTTACTTAGCTGAGGAATTATCTAGCGAATAAGGAACCAGACACATAGGTTTTCGAAATCCTGTCATTCGTAGATTAGAGTTTCGTTGGGACACCTTGTACCTACCTATACAACTGCAGGATACACCACGTACGAATAAATATTGGAAAGATCGAGATTTCCCAGTTTTATGGAAGAAATCTCGGGAAAGAGGGTGCTTTGCCCTGATGAACACTTTATCACGAACAAGAACTTCAAAGATTTCTTCTACGCACACACATCTATTATAGTTAGAGAGGTCACGAGCATTTTGGGAAACCCATTCTCTAGAACCTGAATTTTTGCTGTGTCAGTAATTTTTGGTAGTAATATTTCCCCAGTTGGCCAACATAAAATTGGTGCAAGCGTCTGAAAATATGCTTAAACATGCTGAATAGTCATTAAGAGAGTTATATGTGACAAATTTTGTCCGTTTCTTTAAACTGAGAAATTGACAGATTTGGCATAACTCCGCCTCACTAACTGACAAAAGGGCGAATCTCTGCTTCCACTACAAGTTGCCGCTACTACGTCAAAACTTATCCCATTTTCATCCAGAAATTATCCTTACATAAGGCGTATTCCGAGATACGCTGATATGTATAATGGGATCGTCCTAAACAGAATGTGTCATATGTCATTGACGAAGGCATGCCGACCGTCGTGTTTTTACAAAAGCATCTCATGCTAATCTTGTTAGCCTAACTTAAAAATTATAAATGGGTGTATACGTTGCGCATGTGCTGTTATACGCTGTTGATATTAAAAGCATATTGTCATTTTAGAATAAAATCATTAGTAGTAGATGAAGGGCGGATTGCACAAACCTAAATATTTGAAGGTCAGTTGGACCTTATCGAAATGTAACTTCACGGGAGATCTCAAAGATCTCCGAATATCAGTGATTTCTATTGAAATATTGAATAAAATGGTGGAAAAGCGATGGTATTATAAACAAGAACACTTTTTGATTCCAGTATGATGCTCTTGTACAGAGAAAACACGACAACTTTCATGTATTTTGATTTTTCTTATAAATTTACATATAACAAACCGTGATCCCATTATCCAATAGCAATGCGAGAAGTAATAGGTCGATTTTCAAGCTGTTAAATTTAACCCTAGAATACTAACGTACGTAAATTTTACGTACGGATTTTAACATGATGGCTACTGAAACAATACTAAACGTGGCCACTCTTTGCCGCGTCTGGTATGCTATCCCCACTTCTTGGTCATTAAAGCAGATGCATAACCGTTTTGATTTTAGTTTGGGTTAGGCTTCGGCGGTGGTGTGTCTTACACTCTGTACGTAAAATTTACGTGTGCTTAGTATACGCGTAAAAAATTTTGTACGTAAGTTTGACGTGTTTTTATTATTAACGTATAAATATGATGTCGGGACAATCAAACTATCTAAAGCGTCCTCTTACTCAAAAAGAATTGGAGGATATTATAAATAATGAATTCAGTTATGTTAGTGGAGAAGGATGACCTAGAGGAGTTAGAAGAGCCATTTGACAGTGATGATAGCATTGAAGATAGAGACTATGATCCTGCACAAGACGAAGAAAATGTATTCGCACAACTAGCTAACACCTGGACAACTACACCAGCAGGAACTCAAAAAGAAGCAAGAAATACGTGCTCTCGTAAAAGGATTAAAATTACGCAGCCACTATCATCACAATCAACATCTACTGAGAGCCCTAGTGAACCACAAATACCTGTAATAATATTAGATAAACCTTCTTTAGTAGGTAAAAACGGTTACAAGTGGAGTACTTTACCTATAAATGATGGAGGTTGTAAAATCGCATCAAGAAATATTGTTTATATCCGACCAGGTCCAACAAATTCAGCCAAATATGCCATAGAGCCTATAGATACTTTCAATTTATTTTTCTCTGATGAGATTCTGGACGAAGTTTTTCTACGTACAAATGAAAAAATTGCAGAGCTACGAGTGAGATACAAGACGAAAAATGCTACTGTTTCAGATACGACATTGCCTGAACTGAAAGCGCTGTTGGGTTTGATATTTTTATCTGCAGCTTTAAAAAATAATCACCTCTCAGCTGATGTTTTGTTTGACGGCACTTATTGTGGCGATAGATATAAAGCAAGGTTTAACTTTCTGATAAATACTTTACGATTTGACAACTTCGTGACCAGAGAAGAACGTAAAAAAGAAAGTAGTTTTGCTCCAATATCTAAAATTTGGAACTTATTCATTGAAAACTGTGCCAAAAATTACAAAGCTAGTTCATATGTCACCATCGACGAGCAGCTCCTAGGATTTCGTGGCAGGTGTCCATTTCGCATGTATATGCCTAACAAACCTAGTAAATACGGCATGAAAATACTTATCGTTTGCGATGTGGCTACGAAATATGTACTAAATGCGTCCCCGTATCTTGGCAAATCTACTAGAAGCAACGGCATTCCGTTAGCAGAACATTTTGTTACAAGTCTGACGAAACATTTACATGGAAGTAGACGTAATGTGACTATGGACAACTGGTTTTCCAGCATCCCTCTTGCGAATAAATTATTAGCTCCGCCCTACAATTTGACAATGGTAGGAACACTCCGAAAGAATAAAGGAGAAATACCTCCTGAATTACTGGATAACAAAGCTTGGCAGTGCGGTTCAAGTATGTTTGTGTACGATGAAAACATGACTTTATTATCTTATAAACCTAAGCAAAACAAGACAGATCTTCTCCTTTCAACGATGCATTTTTCTGGGAACATCAATCAAGAAACAACAAAGCCCGAAATAATCCATACATATAATTCAACTAAGGGGGCTGTAGGTATATACATGTGATCAAATGTCTCAGAACATTTGCTGTAATAGGAAGACCAGAAGGTGGCCGCTCTGCATTTTTTACAATATGCTGAATATTGCAGGAGTAAACGCTTTTGTAATATACCACCACAATGCAACTAAAAACAGACAGGAGCCATTATCCAGGCTAAATTTTATGCTGAAACTTCATGAACAATTAACAAAGCCGTGGCAACAAATAAGGCTCCAAACAGTACCAACTTTATCAAGAGGTCTAAAAGAGAGTCTTTCTACGCTCTTACATTTGCCACGTGCAGAAGACCGCCGAGGGCCCCAAGGGAAAGGAAAACGGACTTACTGCAGCTTGTGCCCTACAGCAAAGAAACGAATGACAACTACCAACTGTTATAAGTGCGAGCGTGCCTTGTGTGGCGAGCATCAAATAAAAATATGTATGGAATGTGGACAGTGAAAGAAGGCTCCAGGTTATAGCTATGTTATTGTTCCTATTTTAGTTTTTTATATGTACTAGTTTGTTTTGTCTATATTACGATATTCTGTTCTGTTCCAAAAGTATCTATTTTATGATGTTTTTGTTTATGTTAATATTCCAAGGTTTTTTTTCATTAGTTTCGAACCCAAATAAAATTTTTTGGAACTAGACCCATTTTGCTTCAATTTGTATTGAAATAAACAGAAAATAGTACTCCTAAATGAATCAGTACGTAAATTTTACGTGTGCTTAGTGTTTACGTATGTTGAAGAAACGTTAGTATTCTAGGGTTAATAGCAGGTTTGGACGTTTGTTAATGCATGGCAATCTCGAATGTTGAGTTCGATGTACTGAGTGTTTATATGTTATCATTATACCTACATACCTGTTGAAATATGCGGATTTGTTTGTATTCTGCATGAAAAAGGAATATAAAATATATGCCGACCAATTCCTCATCTTTCGTTACATCACAGTAATAATCATTTATTATCAATTTATGGGTTAATGAATTTTTTCAAAGCAATCAAAACAGTATTTACTCTCCATCCTAAAACAGCTGTATTTATAAAACGTGTCAATCTCCGTGGTGCATAATGGAATTACTATAGACATAGACCTAAAATTATTAGTAATTACTTAAAAATAAGAAGTAACAAAATAAATATAATAGTAATAAAATATTGGTGGCCAAGTTTTTTGACTGGTGGGGACACATTGACACAAAACATATGCAGAAGAAGCAGAAAGTATTATACAGAGGCCTAAACCGGGCAGAGCTAGGTATACTGGCCTGAAGGATTTTCTTCCGATTGCTCTTTCATCTTTTGTGCTTAAGACACTGGAAAGGATAGTTGATAGATGCTTAAGGGATGGCCCGCTGGAAAGGTGTGTCATTCATGCAAATCAGTTTGCATACCAAGCTGGAAAATCGACTGATCTGGCCTTACACAATCTGATCGGTAGGCTGGAGAAGACTCTAGATCAGCGAGAAGTGGCACTCGTGGCCTTTTTGGACATTGAAGGTACATTTAATTGCACCACAACCGACTCTACGAGACATGCCTTGGTTAGACACGGGGCTGGATCAGTCCTAACAGATTGGGTCCTATCTACTATGGAGGGTCGGGTTGCAACAGCTATGCTGAATAACGTAAGCTGCAGCGTCAGCGTAGCTAGAGGCTGCCCACAGGGCGGAGTTCTGTCACCCTTACTGTGGTACATCGTGCTGAACGAACTCCTCATTAGGCTCAGCAGTGTGGCTGTCTACGTGCAAGCCTATGCTGATGACGTAAGCATACTAGTTAGGGGACGGTTTTGTAAAACAATCTCGGAAATTATGCAGGGCGCTCTGCGCTCTGTGGAATCGTGGTGTAGGGAAGTGGATCTTTCTGTTAATGCTGAAAAGACCGATCTGATCCTATTAACTAGGAGAAGAAGGCTTGACGGGCTGGTCATGCCGACCTTCTCTCGGGCTAGATTAATTGTATCCCAATCAATGAAATATCTAGGAATTATCCTGGATTGCAAACTGAATTGGACAGAGCATGTTGAATACAAGGTTAGCAAGGCTCGCAATTCAATGTGGGCCTGTAGACGTGTTGTCGGGGTAAGGTGGGGGCTTAAACCCAAAGTGGTATACTGGCTCTACACGACGATAGTACGTCCATCTCTCTTGTACGGCTCCCTGGTCTGGTGGCCTTGCATTAGGATTAAGGCAACTAAGGCCAAACTCAATAAAATTCAGCGTTTGGCCTGTATTAGCATTACAAGTGCAGTGCGAACAACGCCATTGAGTGCAATGGAAGCTCTGTTGGATCTCCCACCATTGGATCTGGTGATCCGCGGTGAAGCGAGAGTATTCGCTCATCGACTGTGGAGTCAGGGCAACTGGGCTTTCTTGAATCCTGTCAACGGGCATACTGCCATCTTAGTCGAATTGCAAAAGGAGGACCCCGTCCTTCTAAGCTGGGGTGATCGTATTACCCCTAAATATCGCTTCAACCGCAAGTTTATTGTGGAGTATCCAACAAGGGAGGAGTGGGGCGCCGGTAGCCGGAGACGGAGTGAGCGGGCAGGTCTAGTACACGGACGGCTCGGTCATCGAAGAGGGCTCAGGTCTCTGGGCCTAGAACTAGGCTACCTCTGCCTCTCGGTGAATACACCACTATTTTCCAGGCGGAAATCTTTGCGATTCTGACTTGTGTATCCCACATTCTGGAGGAGAGTGGGCCTAGGAGAAGAATAACAATCTTATCCGACAGCCAGGCTGCAATGAAAGCACTAAGTGCCTGTAAGATTACTTCGAGTCTTGTATTGCAATGCAGGGAGGCCCTGGATTGCAATATTTTGTGTCGCTGTGAAGCAGACTATACTGGGGTCCATTATTTTGGACCCTCAGGACGTCAACGAGCTTGGACTCAAGGCGATTCTCAACTTTGCTAAAAGGGCAAGGCTTGTGATCTAAGAAATGTAGAGGTGCATAAGGGCCCGCTTAAGCGACCTATACACTGGATCCTTATGGTTACCGGAATGCCTCTAATTTCAAGATTCATTCATTCATTATACAGAGGCGGCACACTGTCAAAAATCAGGTTCTATCAACGACAACTTGAGTCCTATGCGTTTGGTGGTATTCGTGTTGCTATGACATTTAGGATTTAGGGGCTATGAAAAACATTGAGTTTTATCAATACTATATATAGATATATAAATAGCTTTTCAAGAAATAACAAATATTATCTCGCCAAAATGTATGTGGGTATATTAGCATAAATACATTTCTTGATTATGATGTTTGACATATGACATTCTAGTCTTGCTAATAACGCGTATCAACCCCCCTAGGGAAAAATCCTCCGGGCGCTAATGAATATAAGCTGGAAATGTGAGTAAGCAGTTAGGACACGAAGATCAAAGAGACCGACATCAGGTGTCGCATCTGTATAATCTGTGGGTGAAGTTTAATTGCAGGCCCCCGCTATAGAAGGGTAACTCGCCTGACTTATGTCATGTCAGCGCCCATTTTTGAGGATGCGCCATGGTTGCCAGATGGTGCAATAATATCCCGCAAAGTATCCAGCTCAACATAAATCTGAGATTACTAAAGTTTTATATATGTATATGGAAATCTGGTGGGATATGAGAGATATAATAACATGTGTTATCAACAAATTTGTGCCATCGTGACGTTGAATGTTAAAATAGCAATGTCAATAATACAAGCTATTATAAGATCACTCGTAGGACAGTGATGGGACATTTTATGCATACTGAACGGTGGATGAAAATAACTGAACACTCACCGCACTGCAAGAAAGTGATCTTCTCAGGCACCAAAATGACACGCATGGAACATTCTTAGAAGTCAGATCTAGGTAGTCACGACCTGAAGCAAGTCCTGCTGGTATTTTCTACCGTCTTGTGCTTTCAATTCTATCTTTAAATGCCGTTTTTCGATAATTAACCATAATAACACAGAAACGGACAAAGAAACGAAAAATCTGTTTCATTGGCAGATTACTGCATGAGACGCGACATGTGAAATGTTTAATGTTGTTTAATGAGAAAATTTAGAATCAACGGGATTAGCTAAGATAGAGTATTTTAAACACAAAAACTGCGCTAGTTTTATCGGTAGAAAACACTATATCTCTGAGCCACAGAAGCAAAGCGAATCTCAGACTTCCGATTCTAGTTCTAGGAACTAGTTCGCGAACAAATTACTATATGCAACACTACCACAAGAAACATAGAAACATTAGAAGAGTGGATATTCCAGTCTTTCAGTCGAGGTAAAATGAAAATGATTCATTCGTATTTTTGAACCGTTGCAATGCATTCCACTAATCACAGATGCGTTTTCCCAGCACTAATATTATGAGACACTAATTTCAAATGTCAATTCCTCAATTAAAAACAAAAATATTTATATGGAAATTGGTTGAAAAATCTGGCATGTTGTGAAAATAGTAGTCACTGTAGATCGTAGTTTGGTGATGGTGCACTTAACATAACCACGTATTCAGGGATTGCAAGCTTAATATGTGCACGACAGTGTAATATGTAATTCTGCAGTAAAAAAATCTTGGATGTGGACTTTTTATGTAGAAATTAATTTTTCCAAGATTCCGTTTTCCAGCAGTACCTAGACGTCAAATATCAACACAGAACAAGTAACTTTGGTGAATAGATCACAGAAGATTGATTATCGATCACAGGACGGAATGGATGCAAATTTTGCTATCTCGAGTTGTAGTATACGCTTCATTAGCAATGACGTCACATATTGGGTTAGGTTATGGCACTGAATCTAAATAAGTATTTTGACATTTCTTCTTCTCGGATCAAGTGGTTAAAGTGGAGTTTTGAAACTGTTTTTGTTGGAAATAAGGTTGCTAGTTTACAAGTCCGTCTATAACTAGGTGATCCGCTGAATATGTAAGTATTTTCCTTATAAAATATGTTATATTTAGATATTGTTACTCACTTAACCTAACTTTTGAAATTTCTTTGAATAGGATATTTTCAAACACTACTTTTTCTCTGATGGTTGTTACTTGTTACAGAAAATGGTGCAGTGCTGGGCACCCGACTGTAAGCACTATAATGTTAGAGAAACATGTAAGATGTTCAGATTTCCTAAAGATCCAAAAACAAGGAATCGCTGGATAAAACTTACAAGGTAACGCCACAAAGACCATACTATATACTATATACTATATACAATAATTATGTATATTTTTCGGGGACATTGGAAAGTTAGTTGAGGACAACAACATTCATATATGTGTATGTTTCATTTGATTGCAGGAGAACAGTTGAACCAGGTCCTGGTGCTTACTTATGTAGTTGTCATTTTGTGGATGGGAAGAAAGAAAATGGGCCTACATTATTTACATATAATAAAGAGAAGCAATTGAACTTTCCATCACCAGAAAGAAGAACCCGTAAAAAGGCAGCTGATCAATCTATTAATA